CCTTCCCTCTTATTCCATGACTGCTTGCTTTGCTTAAGAACATTTGGTGAAGGACCTGTCAAAGGCTTTCTGAAAGTCCAAGTACACTATATTCACTGGATCACTCTGTCCACGTTTGTTGACCCCCTCAAAGAATTCTAAGATTTCCCTTTACAAAAGCCATGTTGACTCTTCCCCAGCAAATAGTGTTCATGTAGGTATCTGATATGTTCATTAATGTGAATTTCAAGGCTCACTAAAAGGGCCAGCCTATTTAAATCCTGGAATGGTGGACGGAGTTCCTCAAAGCAATAAAAGGGCCATTCCCAGAACTTAAGTGATTACAGAGGCCAACGTGTGAAAAACCAGGCAGAGGCGTGAAGGTCACAGGGTCAGAATGAGGGATCCAGAGGGGGAGAGGAGCACCAGAACAACAGCTTATACTCTGTTTATCCACGGAACAGGTGCAGCCTGGGCAGGGACAGCACAAATATCCCTCACTGTACTACCATTATGTGGCAACCCTCCCCTGGAGGTATCACCTGGAGGAGTAAATGTCTGATTTAGTTTCCATGATCCATTCCTTCCTTGGCGTTACGACTGGAAACTGAACAGCCGCCAATTTGCTGTCTGCTAAACACCTGCTTTCTCTTCTATCACTTTCCACCTGTATACACTGTATACCCTTTCAGAAAGTCTTTTCATGGTACATTGGTTTGTGGCCGGGGGTGTTTGTTGTGTGGATTGAGAACACCAATTTCATATAAGCCCCAAAAAAAGCCATTAGATGGTAATTTATTTACCTGTCTAAATATTTACAGTGCAACCAGTGCTGTGGTATCTGAGCACTAATTCATTTAAGTGATTAATATCTTGACGTGGATTCAAACTAGCATCCTCACCAATCCCCTGATTCATGCAGTCCTCCATTACAAGATCTTTGGCCTTTGGAAGATATATGTCATTTCTGGAAAACATCATCTGGGATCATTTGTTACAAAATTATCTTGGGAATAACTGTATGTTTCTAAATATAATGCTCATCACTTGCATTACAGCATGTTACATCTTCCAATTGCTGGCTTGCTAGCAAAGAAACATAAATGGGTGTACTTCAGATATTATAAATCTATAAAGGTACTTATGTGCCTAACTGCCACTTTTGGCACCTAAATTCAACATTTAGGTACCACTGAGATCCTCAGAATCCCTTCTTAGCTGCCACCTCATGCTGTGGGTGCCTAAATTCCCACGGTGCGTCAGTTTCTGTAGGTAGGCATGTGTGAAACTGCTTAAATCCTGATGCTGCCAAGTTGCTTGGCGCCTGGTCTCACAACTAAACCCTGGTGGGAATCTCAGTCTAGACATTCCCCCCCACACACACTCCACCCACTGACCACATCTGTGGGACCCAATCCGGTAGGTGTTCTCTGAGCATGCCAACTGCATCAGGCCTCACACAAAAGATGACAGTGGGCAAACAAATCAGGAATAATAGCCTAGAGGTCATGTATTCACCTGGGATGTTGGAGATCTATTTCACGTCCGTCTGTCCCCCCCCCCGCCTGATTGGAGCAGAGTCTTGAAACCGGTGTCCCCATCTCTAATCTGATTGCCCAGCCCCCTCACTATTAAGTGTTCTGAGGTGGGTCTCTCAGTCTCTCCTATTGAAATGGTTCCACTTCAGATTACTAATTAAATATTCATTGAGCTAGCAAGAGATTGGGCACTCACCTGGAATGTGGGAGACTCCAGTTCAAGCCCCTGCTCCAAATGAAGCTGAGCAGGGATTTGAAAGCAAAGCTGTCATATCCCAGGTGAACTACCTGGCCACTGGGCTGTTGGCTGTAATGGGTGCTCACTCTCTGATTTCTAATGAGAAAGGATAGACCTGGCTTTGGCACTTAACTCCAGGACAGGGTTCAAAGCTGTGAATGCTGAGTGGAGATAGGTGCCTAAACTACTCTCCTTGCCATCTCCATTGGCTAACTTAGGCTCCTGGCTTTGGGAAATCCCATTCTCAACATCTAACCTGCTTCATGCATTGTACGGGAGCCTGGGCACCCAGCTCAAGGCTGAGGATTTCACTGAGCAGCGGGCACCTACAAGTTAGGTGTTGTGATGCCTACATCGCTTTGTGGATCTAGCCCCAAGTGAGTACAATATTCTGGCTAAATTCATGCTAGACAAACTGCGGTCCCTATGGGTTATGTGCCTGACAACCAGAACAAGATATATTGAACTGACATGCATTTAAATGCAGATAGATATATGAAGCTATGTACTGACTGAACACCAATCACCTGTTTTAATAGTTAAGATCTCTTAATCCCTTTCACAGCCTTCTTACTGACAGACATGTGGATCTTTAAAGTATGTCTACACTACATCTGGGAATGTGCTTCCCAGTGTGAGTAGACAGACGTGCTAGCTCTGATGGAGCTAGAGTGATAAAAATAGCATTGTGGCTGCGGGGACATCTCAAGCTAGCCACCTGAGTATGTACCCGTAGTTAGCCAGAATTACTGCCCATGCTGCCACAGCCATACTGCTATTTTTAGTGTCTTAGCTCAAGCGAAGTCATGTCTGTCTACCCAAGCTGGGAAGCACATACCCTAAAAAGTGCTATCTTTAACTCCACAAACATTGTGGTATTCAAAGACTTGCCATCCTTTGGCATATATATGGATGCAGATGACCAAATGGACAGCATCTATCTGTGACTGGGTGGGTGTGGTGATATCTTTTATTGGGCCAACTTCTGTTGGTGAGAGAGACAAGCTTTTGAGTTTACACAAAGCTCTTCTTCAGGTCTGGGAAAGGTACTCAGTATCACAGCTAAATACAAGTTCAAGCAGATAGTCTAGTCTCGTAGTTTAGCACATCTGTTTGATCTTGTATTTAGGGGTGACACTCTGAGTACCTTTCCCAGACCCGAAGAACTCTGTGTGGCTCGAAAGCGTGTCTCTCTCTGACCAACAGAAGCTGGTCCAATGAAAGATATCACCTCCCCCACCTTGTCTCTCTAATATCCTGGGACCGAAACAGGTACAACAACACTGCATACAGCATCTGTGACTGTAAGTCTAATTAATTGTTAGGGCACATAGAGCTTTTGTGCAGGCAGTTTTTATTTTATCTTCTTTACAAAATTGAACCGTATGGACTCAGACCTGCGTCCCTTATTCACATGATTAGTTCTTCGATGGGACTATTCAACAGAGTGCATGTTATGGGAGTACTCATGTAAAGGTTACAGGATTGGACCCAAGATGTTTTTCCCTACTAATTTTATCCTTCACAGGGCTAACATTTATCTGTTTCCTGTGGTTGTCATAAAACTGTAAATTAACATGCCTCTTTTTGCTTACTTCCTTGTTATACATCAGCATCCTTGATGCCTGACTGATGTCTGTACAGTTGTGGGAAATAATAGGCCCAGTCCTGCAGTCCTTACTAGGGTTCAACTCAGGAGGGAAGAAACACACCATCTGTGCTGGCTGGTTTTCACTGGGGTTTGAATGCACGTGGTGAGTTGTGACCAACCACTTGTTGGAGGGACCCACACCCCCATTGCTGACTGCCAGATAATGGAGCTGTATACAGGGTGCCGTCATAATAGCACCATTCCACAATTCCATGTGTGATTTTTTTGTTGATTTTTTTTTCAAATTTTCGGTGCAATTTCCAGTAAGATAAAATTCAAAAAAAGAGACAGCAGCAAATAAACAATAAGCAAAGATGCTGTTACACTCATTCTACAAGTGCTTACACTGCTGAATTCTGCTTTTCAGAACACCTGATGCCTTATAAACACCGACTATTATTGAGATAAAATATTTTAAGAGATACTGATGCTCACATTCCTGTTGTGAACCACAGGGTGGGTTTTTATGTGTCTATTTCAGCTTTCACCATATTAAGCAGGTAGCAGTGCTTAAACTAAAGCTTAATGTTCTGTTATTCAGACACTACCTCACTTTTCAGCCTGAGGATATTGATCTCATTTTGGTCGGTCTGAACTAGGAGAAATGTTTTAAATGTCCCATTTTGTAGCTAAACAGGGTGGGGTAGCAGAGAATCAAAACCAGACCCACAGAAGAAAGACCAATAATCCAAGTCTATGCCATCCTTTCTTTCATAGTTCCTCTGGGCGCTATTAAACAGCTGCTGACTGCAAACCTGGACATATGACTTCGACTTGTTCAGATCCTCTACTGATCGTTTATAGAGAGATTGCACGTCAGTATGTTAATCATCAGGACCCTTTCAGTTACTTAGCCAATAGATCGTAACTAACCGCCTCGGGCGCTGCAAGTATTTAAAAGAAACACACACACACAACTTGGATCGTTTTACAGCAAACCACCGCACTGGCGTAGACATATTCCCCTCCACCCACCACACCAACACGCTGAAAAACTAAGTGTAGAGTTAATCAATCTACCAGCTTCTGCTGATCGATTGTTAATAGGATGGAGTCAGGCGTATAAAGGTCCCTTTGGGCTCCATTATTTAACATGCCTTTCCTGCTGCCCACTCTGTAGGACATATTGCAGTAGCCTTTTACCCCCAGCTGCCTGCCAAGAGACATTTACCGCCGAGGACACCAGAGCCAGACAGTCACCTCTGTGTCCACCCCTACACCACCCATGTGCAATGACCACCAGAAACAACAAAGGAACCAGGCATAAAATAAAACAAACAATGCACCAATGCGGTGAACCCAGCCATCCCAGACAAGTTTGCAATGGAAATACTAAAATACTGAGGGGAGGGAGAGAGGGGGGAGAGGTCAAATCGGGAAAAAACGGTTTGTCTCGCCTCTCCTTCCCCCAGATCCTAGTAACATTTCCGAGCTTCAAGCCACCGGTAAGACTAAATGAGACAGACTGAGCCGTGCACATGGGGAGCAGGCTGTAAAGAAGCATCTACTCCAATTCCGAGCCAACACTTTCCTCCCATCGCCACGCAGGAGGAATCATAATACCAGCACGAATAATAAAGTCAGGAACACCAACCTTGAGGATCCCAGTTCACCTGTTTCCTTGGAGTCTCGATTGGAAATTTCATCGCTTCCTTTTGCACAGGGAGGGAAAGGAATTAAATAAATTTCCCAACCTTCCTGTCTCGGTGCTGCAGTCAAACAAATTAATTTCAAATGATGGGCAGTCTGCGCCGTTTGACTGGGGGAAGCCGGTGGTTGCCAAGCAAAGAAACATACAAATACAAGAGGGAAGGTGGAAAGAGGGAATGGAGGCTTTAGGATTGGAGAGTAAAGCGGGGGAGGGGAGCACCCCGCCTGGGGAGGGGGGAAGTAAAGTGAGAGAGGGTCTGATTGAAAGAGGAAACACAGGGGCTGCACTGAGATGGGGCGTCAGAGGCGAGGTGTTGTTCGCTCCCGCGCGGGGTCCGTCAGCAGCGGGCTCGCCCAGTCCATTTGCAGCTGTTCCGGCAGTGGTGGTGGGCTGCCCACTGCAGCATTACACATTTGACTGGTGCACACGTGAGTGTATCACAGGCTAGCGAGACGCAGACCTGAGGGTGCCAAGGGAAAACAGCCAGCCTTGTTCCCTCCTAGCTACTGCGGCTGGCGAGAAGGAAGCGCGCGCACACACACACACACACACACACACCGCCCCCACTCCCTCCAACCTCAGCACCGCCAAGAACCAGCCCAGCTCTGCGCCAGGCACCAGCAGCAAACAGAGCAGGCATCCGGCTGAGGCTGGACGCCGCAGCGGCGTGGCCCGTGGGAGGGTGGGGGAGACCATCCCCTGTCAATGCCGCCAGCCGCGGCTCGCCGTGTGGCCAAGGCGAGGCAGCCAGGAGGAGGAGGAGGAGGCGAGCTCTACGGCTTTGGTGGGAAGCCCGGGGAGCCCCGTCTCTGCCCCGGCGCGGGGCAGCGGCTCGGTGAGTGCGAACGGGAGCCAGCAAGGCAAAGAGAAACCGACTCCCTTTGTGAGGAGAGCCCAGGAGCGCCGGTCGCCGGGGGCTGCGGGAGGGCTCTCGGCGGATACTTACTGGAGTCTTTCCCTGGAGGAGGCGGCGGCGGCTGCCGTGGGTTGTTCGCTGGAGTTTGCAGCCGGAGACACGCTTGACTAGCTACTCGCAGGGCAGCGCTGGGAGCCCTTGCCGCAAACGGGTGGGCTGCTTGATCGTGCATCCGCCAGCCCTGTGTGGTAGGTGGGAGCCGCACAGTCGGGGCAACAAGACAGGGCACACTCCATCCAGGAGCCTTCCCCTCTCCGTCCGCCCCCCTTTTAAGATACCTACAAAGCGCTGGCACCGGACAAATCCGAGCCAGGCGGTGGGGTTCAGCTGGCTCTTGGGGAGCCCTGCGGGAGGGGGAGGGGAGCAGAACTCGATGTTCCTTTGCCCTTCGGCGCCCTGAGGGGCCCCGGGGACTCTTGGGCTGCATTTTCCTTCGCAGTTACTAGACAGCTGCTGTTCGCGTGCTAATTCTGCATCCTTCCTCCTCTCTCCCTGCTCCAGGTAACAAGCCTTTGACATCCAGCCAAAGATAGATGGGCCCCACTCCACTCCAGGAAGGAGCGGCTGGATCTTGAGCTAAAGTCACAATATTCGTGTTAGACTCTCCCACAGAGGGGTTGAAAACGACCGGAGTCCCCAAATGGGCGAGGTTAACCCTGCGCTGTCCCCTTTCTTTGACAGTGGAGACCAACCCTTTGTTGGCAGGGAACAGTCAGGCTCTGAAAAGAAATGGGGGTGAATAGGGAGGGGACCAGCTGGCTTCCTGAAGCCTTCAAACTTCCAGGGCATGGGTGTCAGCAATCTAGATCTGCATGGTAGATTTCAATCATTAGGAGCCTGACTCTGTCAGGGCCTGGATCAGAACCCCCACTCCCTCCATCAGGGCTACAGGAACAATTTGTATAGTGGGGGTACTGAGAGCTATTGAACCAAACTGTAAACTCTAAACCCTGATGATGGAAACCACTTCAATCCAGGGGATCTGGCAGCACCCCTAGTTCCTGCATCCTTCTTTCCTGCACCTATGCCCTCCATTGTCAGGAGAGAGGTTCCCAATTCAAACCTGAGCCAAGCTGGAAATTGTTCATTTTGCCCCATCTCTGTTGTTGAACGATCCCCTCTGCGGCTGCCCTGCTGAAGCTGCCCTGGCTACTGCGCCCTGGGATTAAACCTGGGTAAGTGGTAACATGAAATCCCTGTTGTAGAAAACCAGTGTGGCGGCCCAACTTTCTCCTCCTACAAACTGTGGTTCTGGCTAGTAACAGAACCTGAATTTTGTTTTTTTAAATTAATTTCAGAAACATTTGTAAATACCCCAATCTTTGTCCAGCGCTGAACAAGAAGAAAGGAAAACCAATAGTGTGGCACCTCTTTAAGTGCATTTTGTTTGTTTGGGGGGGGGAGTCCCTAACATGAGACTTAGTTTTAAGAAACTAGTTTAAAGTAGTGCAGCAAGTTTTCAAGGAGTTAGGCCGTTGACTTCCTTCCTTTTCCCTAATCTCAACTCCCCTGCAGTTTGTGGTGTGTTGAACAGGAGAAGAGGAGGTTGCTGTGAGGGAAGACATGGAGGGAATGATAATGAGCCAGATTTGAATTTAACATGAGTGTAGTGATGACACCAGAAGCAGGAAGTATTTCACGGGAAAGCGAATCCCGCTGCATTCTGAAGAGGCTTTGGGATTCCTGTTGACATTACTTCAGCAAACTGAATGGAAACAAAACTCAGATTAGGTTTTACATCTGTGCTGTACAATTGCTTTACAATGACTTTGATCATGAATAAGAAACCTTTGATGATTCAGGTATGTCTTTGCTTAGGCAAGCTGTTGAGAAGAATTCCAAACCCAGTGTCCACACATCACTAAAGGACTATTGATGCCATGCAAGAGTTTTAAATGAACTTGTGTGCTGTTACCTTTTACTCCCTAGCACTCATGAAAGATGCCATCTTGACACCCCTGGAGATTAAAGCCTTTATTTCTCCCACAGAACAGTTACAGCATGGATAGCAACCCAGCAAGCTTCACCCCCACACCTGTGAACTAGAAGTACCACCTTTAGTTATCTCAGTCTCCATAGCCCCTTTACTACTTCACCTTTCTGCTATGACTGCCAGCAGTTGCTGTGGTGGATTCTGTGCTGTGGACATCTGTCTTCTGGGAACTGGACTGAGATCACCAAACTCATTTTACAGAGGCTACTGGAAAGCCAACAGCTTTCAATTGCTGCCAGCCAGGGCTGGATTTAAATCTGTAGCCTGGGGTAAACATTTCATGTACTCCATTACCAAACTCCTGAGACATCTGGACCCTGATTGTCAGTGTTATCTTATGAAGAGGGATTTTCATATGTTCATAGTCATGTTTTAGTAAAACTGACCTCAGGGAAGTGCCTATATATTTGTTTGACTTACAGTATCTTAAAAATTCTAATTTTATATTACCACATTCCTGTCTCCTGCCTTTCACTGTTGTAAATGCACTTCCCAAACAGCATCTGCAAACTCTATATAAACATTTGTCTTGCTATCAGCCATATGGTTTAAGAGGCTTGTGGCAAATCAATAAGGTTTGTTTAAAAAGACAATCAGATACTGAACCACATGATGTCATATAACTTCTTTGCAATTAGTTATTATGTTGTGAGCAGACAAATCTTGCTCAATTATTTCAGTGCCTCAGAACTGTGATTTCTACTTCATGGACCAAATAAATACCTGGATTTAACTTCACTAAAATTAATGGGGGTTACACCATGGATGAATTTAGCACAATGAAATCTCCTCTCACAGCCTATGCAGCTGTTGCATAGGAACTTAACAGTCATCATTTGCAAATATGAGACCTTTCACCTTTTAGTGATATGGATTTCTAAGGAAAGAGCAAGCTTGTGTCTTGAAGCATAGTGCCTCAAGCTGCTGCACCTCTGATAAATGCAGCAGTCTTAGTACGGCTTACTGCCTACATTGTTTTTAAAAAATTCCAAGTAATGCAGGATCCATCTTTCTACTTGCATAAGAGTATGCAGGATTGGGCCCCATAGCAGTAGCTCACAAGTTGGTTGGGTTTAAAACTGTATTTTCATTTAAGGCTCAATAGGAAGAGGTGCTGAGGGCCCTTAACTTCCATTAGAGTCAGTGGGAGTTGACACTCAATGCCTTACAGGGTTGGCATTACCATCCCAAGACAAAAGGCAACAAGGTTTGCTTTTAGAATGTTATTAACAGGAGGAAAAAATGTTAAGTGCCCTTTTATTATTCATTAGCAATATGGCATGAGTGATTTAGACACTGCTGTGATGTAACATATGGAATTTTCAGTGGTGCAGGTGAATAAATATTGTTTATTCATACTTAGATCCTAAAAGGTGAATTTGGGAAGAATAATAATGAAAGGTTTATTGATGCAGGAAATAACAGGTGATTTCTATATAAAATGCTGCCATTTCTTTGATGCATTGAGAAAACCAGATATGATTAGATTTAAAATACATATCAGTCTCTGAGACATCATGCTACTGCTATTAGATGATCTGCCCATTTTTCAAATATGTATACTAAATATAAAATTGTCTTCTGAAATCTTTCATCTCTGATTGAGAAGATTGTTCCACGTCTCACATTTGCTGTAGCTGCTCTCTCTGGTCATAGAAAAGCTGTAATCCATCTAGACCTCCTGCTGATGTCCTTCTGAGCTGTTTAATGTTGTGAAAATCCAAAAATGAAATGACTAAAAACTAAAAACCTGAAATAGAAAAAAGGGAAAGGAGACAAGCGACATTGCTACAGAGGAAAACAAATATTTAAAAAAAGAATTTACTCTGTACTCCCCACATAACTGGCATGACCTCACATTGCCCATTCTTCAAATTCCACCTCAGATCTCTCTCACACACACACACACCCCAACTTAACCAAAACAAAATGAATATGGGAGTCAACATCAGAGACCAGATTCTCAGTTACAGGGGTGCAGTTGGGGGCAAGGGCAGCTTTAAGACACTTTTGCTCTCTCCATATTCTGGGGCCATGCAGGGGCCTTGTGTGAATTAGAGCTGCTGCAGGACTTCTAATTTACACTCTGGCCAGAGAATAAGCACACTGAAGTGCACTCTGTCCACACTTGTGATATGCCACTGATCCACCCCACTATGCTGAGGATTTGGAGCAGGTCTGGTGTAAAGCCCTTACACCAGTTCTAAATTGGCTGAGTAGCCCTCTCCGTTCAGGGTAGTCTAAGAGGTCCATTTATACTCACTCAAAGGCCCTTTCATGCTGCTACAATGGTGTAAAGGGACATCAGAGTAACTGAGAATCAAACCCACTATGTATAGTGCAATAAAGAGTAACCTCACATCTTTATTCTTATTCATCTCCCTGCAGTACCCATCTTCTTACCGGCTATGTGTTATGTTGTGTAATTAATTCATTTAGGGATTGATCCAGCAAGCATTACGTTCAGAAGTTAATGCTTATTCCTGTGAGTAATCCCACTGAAATGAATGATGCTACTTGGTAGCATGTGTTTACAGGATGGAGCCCCTAGATGTAAATTGCTTAGGGTAGAGACCCTGGCTGAAATTCCCAGCACAGGACTCAGGCCAGGGGAAGTGGGAGCTAAAGTGGCTCCACTATAGCACCTTCCCAGCTGCAGGGGGCTCTAGGGGCTGGAGAAGCTCGTGGCATAACAAACCCTAGAACACTGCCTGTGGCAGCCTTGCCCCGCTGCATAGGGGCAGCGGTACCACACATAATCCCTACAATGCCATCCCCTTCCGACCCCTAAAATGCCTCACCCCAGACGCACACCCACTATGCCAGGACTTATAAGGGTGTCCCTGAAAGTCAGCCTGTAGTTGTCTTCTTCACCCTCAGCTTCAGCGCTAGAAATGGTCTCCCTTGGCCAGATCCAGGGCTTTTAGAGCCCCTTTACACCACTCCAGCCCCTTTACATGGCAGACATGGGGCTCAGGCAGGGGTGAGAATCTCATTTCATGTCTTTTAATCTGTCTGTAATGCACTCGGCATATATCAGGCACTGAATACACAATAGTATTATTATTAATTCGACTAATTAGATTCCTGAAAGAGCTTAATTGTTTACAGCAAAGTTTCTGTACTGTACAAGGGTCTCCCTGCTACAAACTATGCAGCTTAGATATTGCCCTGATTCTGATTCCACTTACACCTGTTTTACCTAAGTGTAACTTGATTTCAGTGGAATTACATCTGATTCACAGGCCAGGAGGGATTTTATAGCACTGTATACAGAAAGGTGGTTGCCCTTCCCTTTCTGTTTATAACATAGCACTATTCTGTTTCTTTGTGTCATTTTCCTCCAAAAGATTTCTTGCCAGTTCAATGTGTAGTGCCATGGTAGTAGATGGCTAAAATTCCAGAATTTGGGGGTTCAAATTCTAGTGATACTTAAGGATTTCTGTGATGTGAAAAGAAAAGCCAAACAGAGTCATGGAAGAGTATGTGTCAAATAAAGAAAACCTGTTTGATGTATTTCAGGACCCTGGACAGTTAAAAGCATATTCATGCCTCATGACTGGCCAATCCTTAAGCAAAGCAGGTACACACAGAGTTCCTTGCATCTGGTTAGCAGATCCAGCTTTTAACAAGGATTGCAATTGTCTATAGATTAAAGAACCAGTTGGTGACAGCTATTAACTCTTCTGCCATAACACCCTCATCTCAACTCTGCCCGTCATCCCAATGGAGTTTAAAATGTTCACACCTAGAATGATTTACCTCCCAGAGAGATAGAAATCATTTAACAAATTACAAATTCTACAAACTTAACTATTTGTGTATTTACACATATACCTGAAATAAAGGGGGATGGAAGGGAATGGGAGGGATGTGGTGCAGAAATGGAGGGATGCAAGGAACCACTGTGTTCAGTGAGCTCAACTTAGAGACACAGTGAAGTGTGTGACCCTCTAGACATGGGTAGGCTAAGATGGGATTAGTCACAAGGGAAATGGGGGACAAAATCCCTAGCAAGGGAGGAAAAGGAAAATGGGGGCAAGAATGGAAGACCATAGTAAGAGGAAAGGAGGAATGGAGGACACAGAGAACCACTGGCATGGGCAAGGGGGGATAATTGACAATCAAGTTGTGGGAAGAGGGAGGCAGAGGGGACAAAACACCTAGCATATGGCAGAGGAGGTAATGGGGGACACATAGTGCCCCTAGCATGGAGAAGAAGGGGGTAACATTGTGATAATTGGGGCCTAGAAGGCCTAATTCAGCTGTGAGCCTAACTGTGGGAAAGTGTATGGAAGTTTGTAAACTGATTTAGTCATCTGTACCAAATGTTGATGGGAAAAAAGATAAGAAAAGTCCAACTCAGACTGTTACATGTGAAGAACGCATTCGTCTAAACAAAAGGGCTTTGCTATTATAACTCAAGGACTGTGCTGAGAACATACCCGTCCTGGTACCGCGTGGTAGTACAGTTGTACTTAGGAGCAGATCAGATGGAAAGCAGAAACAAAGCAGGATCACACATGTCCACTGCTAAAGTCTCCACTGAAGTGATGGTGTCTCCATTTGTGTATCTGAAGAATTTTCTTCCCAAGAGAAAGGCCAGGAGGCCTTGTTCTTGATCAAGGAACTTTATTTTCACCTGTGAGTCTGAAAGTCATCATATCATCATGACATCCAGGCCTCAGTCCATCAGTGGGGATACCTAACTGGCAGCACTGCAATAAGATTTGGATCTTTTTGTTTTCTGCCCCACTATTTTTCCCCCTATCCTATCTCTCACTCCCTCAGCTTTTCAATGGGTCCAAAAATCAACTGCACTGCATGCATTACCACAGTGAGATGAAACAGCCCATTCAGCTCGACCCTGTCTGAGGAGTAAGGGCCCAACCAAACAATATCCCTGACTGGAATGTGAGCCTGGGTCCAAGCAACAGGTTGTGACTGACCTGCCATCCAGTGTTCCAAGGTTACCACCAAAGCCATATTTCTTCCCATCTGTACTGTCCTGTCTCTCCTCCACCTTGTGCCTGTTAAAAACAGAAGTGATTATACCTCACATAATAGGACTGAGAGTAAAATTAACCCTTTCCTTTTCATCAAAGAAAGGTTGTTCATGAAAATAAAAGACTGATATTTTGCCTCCTAAAGGCAAGAGACTTTAATAGATTTTAATTAAGATTGCTTTGCATAATTACTCAGTTTCAGTGTAAGTGGTTGCTTTGATTTCTTGTATTTGATCAATAAACTTCCAATTTAAGAATGAATGCTGCTGGCTGTTCGCCAAGGAACCCGGGTCTCTGTAAAAAACACTGAACCTTTGTATCACTGATTTAATATTGTATTGTGAAAATTTAAACACCTTTAACTCTTTTGGCCCTAGATATCAATACAACAGCGCACAAGTGAGGTAGGCCTTCTAGGCCCCAGTTGTTACCACAGGACAAACAGAGCCCTTGGCATGAGGGGAAGGAAGGGGGTTGCGGGGAAGGAAGGGGGTTGCAGGGAATCCCTGAAAGAGATGGGGTTGGCAAAAGTGCACACAGGAAATCTATGTAGGAATGGAGAGTGCAAAGAGCCCCTGATGTGTGCTGTGAGCCCAGCC